TAAATAAATGTTATTATACAGTTATGTTCCTCAAATTTTTTCCCTCTTGTTTCCTAAAGGAAATATTATCTTTATTTATTTTTTTATTTCTTTGGACTTAGGGGTACAATTTCAGTTGTGTTACATGGATATATTGCTTAGTGGTGAAGTCTGGGCCCTGCCTAGCTTGGTCACACTCTAGAGGCTGAGCTGGGAGCTCAGACCATGGTGCATTCCCCAGGACAGACCATTGCCTGAGGCAGCATAGTACTTCCCACAGAAAATAAAGATCAAGTCTATGTCCATCTGCATTGGTTGCAGCTGGCTTTTATCCCTAAGTGCCTCCTACTGGCCTGGAGGTTGTACGACACAACCCAATAGAAAATCCACTGACATGAATACACAGCATTAGGGAATGTACATTTTAACAATTATTCTTCTGATCTATGAGCATGGAATGTCTTTTCATTGGCATGCATCCTCTTCCATTTCTTTCATCAGTCTTTTGTAGTTTTTCTTGAAGAAATATTTCACCTCCTTGTTTTTTTCCTAGATATTTTATATTTTTTGTGGCTTTTGTAAGTGGCATTGCCTTTTTTATTTCTTTTCCAGCTATTTCCGTACTGATACACTGAAACACTACTGATTTTTATATGTTGATTTTGTATCCTGTAGATTTACTAAATTTGCTCTCCAGTTCTAACAGATTTTGGTTGAGTCTTTAGAGTTCTCCAAATATACGATCATGTCATCTGTGAACAGAGATAATTTGACTTCTTCCTTTCCAATTTGGATGCACTTTATTTCTTTCTCTTGTCTGATAACTCTAGCTGGGACTTACAGTATTATGTTGAATAAAAGTGGTCAATTTGTATCTTTATCTGATTCCAGATCTCTGAAAAAAGGCTTTCCATTTTGCCCCATTCATTACGATCTTAGCTATGGCTTTTTCATATATAGTCTTTCTTAATTTGGGGTATGTTCTTTCTATACACAGTTTTTTCAGGGATTTTATCATAAAGGGATGTTGAATTTTATCAACTGCCTTTTTACCACCTATTAAAATGATCATATGTTATTTGTTCTTGGTTTGTTAATGTTTTGAAAACGTTATTCCACTGCCTCTTGGCCTGTGTGGTTTTCAGTGAGAAGTCTGTTTCTGGATAAATGAGAGCTCCTTTATATGATATTTGCTTCTTTTCTCCTTTGTATGATATTTGCTACTTTTAGGATACTCTCTCTGTGCTTAATCTTTGAGAGTCTGACTATGAGATGCCTTGGGGTAGTCTTACATGGGCTCAATTTATTTTATGTTCTTTGACCCTCTTGTACTTGGTTATTTACAGTTTCCTTAAGTTTTAGAATGACTTTTGTTGTTTTTCTATACGTTGCTTTTGTTCAGCTACTTCTTGAACACCAATAATGTTTAGATTTAAACTTTTGACATAATTTTATATATCTTGTAGGTGGTGCTTGTTTCTTCTCATTTTTTTTTTCTTCTCTGACTGTATCTTTTCAAACAGCATATATTTGGGCTCATGGATTCTTTCCTCACCTTGATATGGTCTGCTGTTGAGTATCTTTGTAAAATGTTTCAGTTCGGCAAATGTGTTTTTCAATTCCAAGTTTTCTGTTTGTTTTTGTTATTTCCATCTCTTTGTTACCTTTCTCTGCTCTGAATTGCTTTTCTCTATTATCTAGGAGATTACTGAGTTTCTAAGACACACTATTTTGAATTCTTAGAGAGATCACATTCCACCATATCATAGGGTCAATTACTGGTTCCTTGCTTTGTCTGCTTGGTGCACTCATTATTTCTTATTTGCTATTGTTTCTTGTGGATGTACATCTACGTCTCTGCATTGAATTATTATTTATTTATTCCAGTCTGTGTGGCTTGTTTTGGTTTTTATTGGATATATTTGATTAATTTTTGTTGGTTTCTTTTTGGTAATTTACCTGTTGATTTTTTTTTCTCACTAGGTTTCTGCCTCCTTTTTGGCACTGGATAATGTCTTAATCCCAGGTGTGCCTTAGCTCTAGTACACAATAGAGGGCTGCTTGTGTAGAATAGGAGAGGCTCCAAAGGGGATATCCAAGAAGTATGGAAAGGTTGTCTAGAGATTTGTGCCCAGGCATCTTGTGGAATGTATTTCCTGTACTGTAGTGCTGCTGAACAACTACTGTGATTTGGTATCTCCTTTAGCCAAGTTAAAGAACAGCTTCTAGGGCTGGAGTTAGTAGTTCTAACTCCATCCTTTGTCTCTGACTGTCCGTGGGATGATTTCTTCCTTCAGACACTCACAATGCTTCCCATGGGTTGAGGCAGGAACATACCTCCTGACGGGGAACTCAAAATTGTAGGGAATATGGTTGTTCACCTTGATCTCACTATTTCTAGTGTAGAAATCATGACATGGGGGAATTTTCTACATTCCTGGTACCAGGAGATTAGAGACACATCACAGAAATGGAAGATTGATTTTCTTTTGTCAGAGATTTTTCACTTGTCTGTTGTCCTGGAAGCTGTCTCATTTTCATATTTGAGTTCTGGGATATTGCTGGTCAAAACCATGATGATGTAATTTGCTTTCCCTTATGGTGGAAGTAAAGCCAGCTTGCTTCTACACATCTGTTTTGAAACCAGAAGTTTCCTGCCCTACTCTAATATGTTTTACACATAGAAATAAACCCACCTACTGTATCACATAACCTGTGTAAAGAAAGTAATGACTAAAATCAAACTATTGGGGATGTGGGGAGAGATTTTAGAACTTTTAAATAGTTTGTCAGTTAGATAATCACTTATTGCATAATTGGGATATGACTCAACAATTGAAAAAAGAGTGTAGACTATTCTCTCTTCAGGATGCAGATGACTAGCTTAAAGGGCACAAAAACCATGAACTTAAATCAACCTTCCATAGAATTTACCTTTTGAAATGATTTCAGCCTCTGTCCTTTCTAATATGAAAATTCACGAATAAAGTACAGTTACTACCCATTTATCTTTCATAAGGGAAGCCATTGGCTCATTGTTATACAGAATTATTTTGAAAGAATGCTGCTGTAATTGCAGTGTTAGAGAGTTTCAATTGCTGGATGCAGACCTAAAAATGTCATTTATAAACTGTACCTGTTTCACTATCTTGGTTAATATTATTGAACAAATAGAGAATTAACTTTAAATTTTAAATAATATTTTGTAGCTATTAGAAGGAAACAAGGTTTTAAGAAATGCTATTTGTATTAAGTAAAATAAGAATTTAAGAAAATAAATATATTATTGCAAACTTTGTCCATTGAGGTAAACTGCCTGCTGTCTTCAAGACATATATAAATTGCTAAGGTTCCTATCTTAATTATATGACAGTTCATAAAATCTTTCAAAATGTTTTAAGGCAGCTAAAATATCCAGCAGCTGCATACTACATCACAGATCTTAATCAGGTTGCTAATTCCTCACTCTTTTTAAGAATATGTTCAGTACTTTTACTCATATTCTTTCTTTCCTTTGCACTTTTTAAATCTCATGCAATGGGACATTTTATTTGTGTAGTGTTCTGCTAAAATCAGTATGAATTTATCACAAGAATAAACTAAAATGCATATTCATATGTAGGCTAATACTATCATGTTAAATACTAATTAGTCATCTGTTTTTGCATGATGCCTACTTTATTCATTAAAGCGTTTACTATATTAATTATATTCCCTATCTAATAACTCCTACAGGTGTATCATACCTCAGTCATGTTATGATGCTTGCTTTGTCTCCTTAAGCTGTGTTTTTTCTTGCCTTTTAGTATGCCTTGTGATTTTTGTTGTTGTTATTGATGAAAGTCAAACATAATAAATTAGAGTTAGAAACTCAGGAAAATAGTCCTTTAGTGTGTGGACTTATAATAATTTGGTTATAAGTTGAATTGTATTTAATAATTATTAGGTTTGAGTCTTGAAAATTTTCCGCTGTCGTTTTTGTTTCCGCTCTTGACTTTCGGCTTTGTTATGTACACCTACTTAGTCTTTGTCTTTCAGCTGTAATTTACTCTTACTGCACTTGAATCTGGTAGTTGTGACAATGAAACATGGAAGGGAAGGAGCACTCTGTAGCCAATTCCGTCTGTTTTTCAGTGGACCTATTTCACTAGTCAATGAGTTTCATGAGAGTTTCCTCTTGTATAGTGTCCCCACAACCCATTAAGTAAAACAGAAAAGCTAGAAGAGCTAGAATAAGAGAGATGGCCTTCTATCACAGCCCTGGGGCAAGAAGCTCTAAAGCAAGACTCTGCTAAAGTCTTTTTCATTGAAGATTAGGCTTTTCCTACAAGGGATGTTCTCTGTATTTTAAAAGGATTACTCTTGCCCTCCCATGGTAGGATGTAAGGAGATATTTCCTAGATTTTCACTTTGAGAACCTGGTAAGATTCCTGGAGATTAAGATAATATAGCAAATAAATATCAGAGCCAGGATTCAAATTGAAGTCTGTCAGATTCTAAAACATTTATCTTTCAACCAAAGGGGATAAAAAAAGTCAACTCTCAGTGTATCTTTCTTTCAATAAAGCCTAGTTACACTCTTGAGAGGTCTCAGATAATTTCTTTATGTTAGTTTTATATCCCCAGTTAGAGTAAGTGGAAGGACAAGGTATTAATATATTCTTATGCTGTTAATAAAGACATAACCAAGACTGGGTAATTGAGAAAAGAAAAAGGATTTTTTTTGAGACAGTCTTGCTCTGTCACTCAGGCTGTAGTGCAGTATGCAATCTTGCCTCACTGCAACCTCTGCCTCCCAGGTTCAAGCAATTCTTATTCTTTAGCCTCCTGAGTAGCTAGGACTACAGGCACATGCTGTCTAATTTTTTTGTATTTTTAATAGAGATGGGGTTTCTTCATGTTGCCCAGGCTGGTCTCGAACTCCTGAACTCTGGCAATCTGCCCACTTAGGACCCCCAAAGTGCTATGATTACAGGCATGAGCCACCATGCCCAGCCAGGAAAGACGTTTAATTGACTTACAATTCTTCAGGGATGGGGAAGCCTCAGGAATCTTACAATCATGGCAGAAGGGGAAGCAAACATGTCCTTCTTCACACAGCAGCAGCCAGGAGAACTGCAGAGTGAAGGTAGGGAAAAAGCCCATTATAAAATCATCAGATCTTTTGAGAACACACTATCACGAGAATAGCAACATGGGGGTAACCACCCCATGATTCAATTACCTCCCACCATGTCCCTCCTACAACACAGGGGGATTATGGGAACTACTGTTCAAGAAGAGATTTGAGCAGGGACATAGCCAAACCATATCAGATTTAAGAAGTGACACATACATACGTGATTAACGTTCATCACTCTATCTTACAACTAGTTCCTAACATATCTGTCTCCTCTTCTTAATTGTTATGTAAGAAAATGAATTTTCTCTTATTGATTACAATTTCAAGAAAATGAACAATAAGTGACTAATTTTCCTATCTCTATTAGTTGGATAACTGAATGCATATATAAAGCAATTAATTAAGAAATAACATATTGTTGGCAAAGTAGATGGCTTTACAACAATGTGTCAACCTAGTGTTAGGCAATAAATGCTAGCTGATTATAAATTGGTAAACAAAAAGGTAGAAAATTTTATTAAACTAGATATGTTATCTTGGCATTTGAAAAAGTGATAGTAATATTTTTAAAACAAAATTCCCATTTTTGATGTGTCCATGCATTTAGTCCATTTACACTTCTAACTCATTTTGGTGTCAGTTAGAGCTTTTTACTAGAAGAATAGCTGACTGATATAGAAAATAAATTTAATATTTATGAATAATCTATTATATAAATCTATATTTATATATTATAAACTTAAGGATAAACATAATAAATATAAGTATAAATAAATATCAAATGTAAATATACAATTAAATAAATACAATTAAATCTAGAAAATAAATTATTTAATAAATCCAATATAATAAAGCTACACTGAATTTACCAAGAGCTCAGTTAAGAATATGAGCTTTTTAAATTTTTTAAATTATGTCTACACATATGAGAAACCTGTATGAATACTCAGTCTTCTTAAAACAGATTCCAGAAATGTGTTACCTAATTAATTGATAAAGGTATAGCATGATATTATAACCCCAAATATTTACAAATAGGCCCTTATATTTGCTGTTTGTTTACAGAAAGAGGCAGACTAAAATTATGGCAAACTCCTCTCAGTCATGGAATTTTGTTTTAAATCTTCAAATTTAATAAATGACTAAATTGAGTTTTAAAGCATGTTTATCTGTATGACTTAAACCTATCACTAAAATATGTAGTTGAAAATTTGAACTATACAGAAAAGATACTAGCAATAATGTAATAAAACAAGGTTTACTGCGATAGCATGGTTAATGTGATTGCATACCAAGGAAAATTAATAACTAATTTATGAAATTGTTCTTATTAACATAAAGAAGATTTAAAATTGTTCTTAGCTTTAAATACAACTTGTGGAGGTGAGGGATAAAATATTAGTGAAATATATCACACATAAAATCATATTAACTCTCTTTAAGGCCCAAGGTGACCACAAAGCAGCTGTTGTTTTAGAAGAAAAAATAAAACATTATAAAATAAAAACAAGAAAAAAAACTTTGCTTTATGTTGGAGAGTGAAACTGAAGTGAGCTGCCTTTTTTTGAGACTCAGTTAAGGAAACAGTTAATTAATTGTACACATATTTAAAGGCCAAAATAAATTTTATCATATATCCCAAAGATACAGAACTTTGTGCTTTCAGTCTTACATTTTAAAGTCAAGCTTCTTTTAGATTTGGGTAACTTATCAAGAAAATATCCACGAATCTCTAATGTTTCTTGTTGACATTTAAAACATTAATATGACTGAAGATGATAAGGAATATATGTTAAAAGGTGAATATGATTCTAGGAAGAATTTTATCAGTATTAAGAAAATAGTAAAAATTCACTTCTGTAGGTCTTTTGGCTTCCACTTGTGGTATATAAATCTGGAAAGAGCATCATTCTCACTTCAGTAAAGAAAAGTCGGATAATCTACAAAAGCACAAATTTTCCTAAAGCTTTACATGGCAAATTACTATGAAATTTTGACTAAAACAGTTACATGTAAATATGAAAAAAATTTTATGGATAAAATAAAATGCCCAGGGTCCATTGGGTCAGGGAAATAACACTAGACCCAGAAACAGAAGGTCTGTTTTGATCCAGGCTGTGTTCTAGGTGTGACCTTGGGTGTCCTACAGTATTTGTGCCACCTTCAGCTGGTCCCTTTTCAGAGCATTCCTCTTTATTTTCAGGGAAATTTTCCACTGTTCTCAGTTTTTCCATTGCTTCAAGATGCCTATATTGGCAATAATATGACTCTAGATTGTAAATTTTACCTTATTATTATTTATTTATTTATTTATTTTAATTGCATTTTAGGTTTTGGGGTACATGTGAAGAACGTGCAAGATAGTTGCATAGGTACACACGTGGCAGTGCGTTTTGCTGCCTTCCTCCCCTTCACCCACAATTGGCATTTCTCCCCAGGCTATCCCTCCCCAGCTCCCCCACCACTGTCCCTCCCTTATTCCCCCCAATAGACCCCAGTGTGTAATACCCCCTTCCCTGTGTCCATGTGTTCTCATTTTTCCTCACCCGCCTATGAGTGAGAATATGCAGTATTTCATTTTCTGTTCTTGTGTCAGTTTGCTGAGAATGATGTTCTTCAGATTCATCTATGACCCTACAAAGGACATGAACTCATCATTTTTGATTGCTGCATAATATTCCATGGTGTATATGTGCCACATTTTCCCAATCCAGTCTATCATCGATGGGCATTTGGGTTGGTTCTAGGTCTTTGCTATTGTAGACAGTGCTGCAATGAACATTTGTGTGCATGTGCCATTATAGTAGAATGACTTATAGTCCTTTGGATATATACCCAGTAATGGGATTGCTGGGTCAAATGGAATTTCTATTTCTAAGACCTTGAGGAATCGCCACACTGTCTTCCACAATGGTTGAACTAATTTACACTTCCACCAACAGTGTAAAAGTGTTCCTTTTTCTCCACATCCTCTCCAGCATCTGTTGTCTCCAGATTTTTTAATGATCGCCATTCTAACTGGCGTGAGATGGTATCTCAATGTGGTTTTGATTTGCATCTCTCTGATGACCAGTGATGATGAGCATTTTTTCATATGATTGTTGGCCTCATGTATGTCTTCTTTTGTAAAGTGTCTGTTCATATCCTTTTCCCATTTTTGGATGGGCTTGTTTGTTTTTTTCCTGTAAATCTGTTTGAGTTCTTTGTAAATTCTGGATATCAGCCCTTTGTCAGATGGGTAAACTGCAAAAATTTTTTCCCATTCTGTTGGTTGCCGATTCACTCTAGTGACTACCTTCTTTGTGTACATGCTAATGATAACCCAAGCTGTAATATCCTAATTGATGCTTGCATTTGACTGCAATATATTCTAATTTGAATATTTCCCAAGTACATGGTTTGAGTTTTTAAGATTCTGTTGTATTTGTAGATTATTCAGAAAAATGGACACCTGTATATATTTTCCCAAATTGCATTTACTATATACCATTAGTCAATATTCATCTACTCGCCTCAGCCTCCCAAACTGCTAGGATTACAGGCATGAGCCACCAAGCCCAGGTACAGATCACATTTTGATTAGAGAATAGCATATGATGAGGGAAGTGCTAAGAGATAAGTTGAGAGAGAGACTAGAGTATAACATACTCTTTTCTTTGACTAAATTAGAAATGAGAAATTAACCATAAAACATCAAAATTATGATAATGACTTTAAGGCTTATAAAATTTGAATAACGCAACAAAGGAGTAACTGATGATATTTGGGACTCAAACTTATTTCTGCACTATTTTATGAGACTGGAGAAAATAATTATTAAGGTATGATAATTACCATATATCCTTCATTGACATTCTGAAAGCAAGGCCTGATGTACTTGATTATAAATTTTATATGATGTTCTGACCAGAAAGAAAGAGAAATCTGAAAGCTTTATCATCTTGGCTTTAACATTGGGGGAAATATATAACTTGAATGAGTTTTCTTCTTTAGCCACTCTGTTGGCCCCATCCTGACACTAAACAATTTGATACCACAAAATAGAAGAGAAATGGTAGAAACATGCAGATAGATATAGATTTAATGTTAAGTTCCATAAGAGCTAAAAGAGGAAGCCCACAATATTTTGGAAAAAAAAAAAAACACTATGAACAAACACTTTTAACATGTTAAAAGGCAATAGTGCAATAGCAGCTATGTTGGAAGGTTGTTATCTGAGTTTGGGGAAAAACCTTTTGTATGCCTTCTGATTTCCTATGCTCTACGCATGGCATGGTAAGAATCCAGACATTCATATGTGATACAATGAATGAAACCAAAATTCCCTAGAGGACTTGATCACTGTTAAGAGAAATAATCCGAAACTTGGAAATAGTAAAAAAAGATGATATGACTTTTCAACATTATGGTTAAGCATTGCCTAACATGTCTACCTAAAGATTATTTAATACTCTAAAAGTATACCATTTTTATTACATTATTTACCCTTTATTAGGACCCAGACTTTGTAAAGTTATATGTTCAATGGTTGACTTCTCTTCAGGAGAAAAGATAACTAAGAAAGGTTTTCATGCCCAGAAAGATGATGAATAATTTTTATCTTAGAAAACATATTTCAGCATTTCTTTTGTTGACTGTTTATATATAAGCCTCCACTTATTGAATTTTTCTTTCAGCAAGCTTTACTATGTTGCTGTTTCTCTCATTTGTGAGTTAAGACATTTTTAACACGTTTACCATATAATTGGGCTGTATGTATGAGAATTATATTTTGAACTAATTGAAATTATATTTTAATGGCACTAACAAAGGGTTGGGATCATGATGATGAAGGCAAAATGAGTGAGGAGTTAATAGACCAATGATTAGAAATAGAGATTACAGTTTCTGATAAAAGTTTATTGTCTTCCCCACAAAAAACGAACAAAAATCCTAATAAGACCATTTTATATCAGTCACTAGTCCAAGAAGAAGACTACATTATTGCCTTTAC